AGGGGAAGGGGAAGGGGAAGGGGAGGGAGGGAGGGAGGAAGAAAGGAAGGGGAAGGGGAAGGGGAAGGAAGCTCTGTGTGTGGAGAAGGAAGGAGGAGGAGGAGGAGGAGGAGGAAGAGGGGAGGAAAAGAGGAAGAGGAGGGCAGGAAGTGATCACACTACACGGTGTCCCTTTTAAGAAGGGTTCAAACAAACTGGAATATTTTAGAGAAAGGCTGTGAGGATGCTCAGAGAATCAGGGTTGGGGAAGGTACACACTCAACATCTGGATCATATAAGACCGTGTTCCTCAACCCTGGCAACTTTAAGACCTGTGGACTTCAACTCCCAGAATTTGGTACCCTCTCTTCCTTAAAAGAGAAAAAATTGTTGGAGGGCACCTGGATCGGTGCCAGTGGGAATGAGGCTTGCAGTAGAAATCCTTTATAGAAGAGGGAACGTGGGGCGAGCTTGTTCAGCTTTTTGTCACACACAGTGACCCGACCCGCCTTACCAAATACTCCTGGGTCCTTCCAAAGAGATACTTCATGGCTGTTTGAAAATACTCAGGCTGCATGTCCCGGAACACTGAAAGGAACATTCTGGGATGGTGGAAGAGGTGCTCAAAGTAATTGGTGATTGATTCCTGAAAAAGAGGGTGGAAAGTTTTGCACGTTCCAACAGGGGAAGGTGAGCCCCAAATCCTTTTCTTTTTTCAGTGCCAGGCCTCTTTCTGATGATGCTTGCTAGCCAAATTCAGCTCAGCCCGGTGTTCTGCTGCTCTTCGGGACCAGCCACCCCCTCAGAACGACAGGCTTGACAAGCAATCCATCCCCAGATACAGAAAAGCCCACCCATGTACACGAGGCAATCGGTCCATTTTACATCATGTGTCCTGCCCTGGGGCGACCCACAGATTCTCCCCTTCCCCCCACCCCAAAGTGAAGCATGGTCCCCCGCTGCTAAAATAGCACCACCCTGAAGGTACACACTGAACATCTGGATCGTATAAGACAGTGTTCCTCAACCCTGGCAACTTTAAGACCTGTGGACTTCAACTCCCAGAATTCCCCAGCCAGCCTTGCTGGCTGGGGA